GCTAAAAGGAATTAACTATGAATATTGAGGCTTTAAAGAAGAAGGCTATTATGCATGTTGAATTGTATAAGGTACTATTGTGGAAGGACTTTACCCACATGACCTATAATGTGAGTATATGAGCTTATACATGCAAATGAATGCACTATTTGAGTTATGATAACGTACATGTCTATTATGATAAATGTTAGACGTGTTGATTTACATGGTCTATGATCCTTGAATGCAATATATGTGAATGATGCATGATTGTGATAGTATGTACATACTTATGAACACTTTGAGAGAGAAGTGTCTATGATGATAATGTTGTTGTTGTGTCATTGCAAGGACAATTATACACACACACTCCATGCATAAACATGATTATGATGTATCAATGGTGTTAATTGAAAGTATAATTCTCATATGCACCTTTACACATTATTATGCATGAAATGTACATAACCATGTTGATCCTATTGTGTTGATTGAAAGTCCATTCTCATGAGAGCACATGATCTTGGTGTGAATGTTATTCTCACATACTAATGATGATTCTAAGGTTGAAAGTCCAATTCTCACCTAATTGAATCTATGAGCTATTTTATTAGTTGGGTTTAGACAAAGCTAAAATAAACATGATGTATATGATAGAATAAGCTAACCAAATTCCCCGAGTTAATGTTATAATGATAGAACTAAACAATCGATATATATACAAACATTGATCAATGAATTCTCGATAAAAATAAGTGAAAATAATTTAAGTAGCGGTAATATTTTGATAGGCAAAACCAGAATGTAAACATAGGTAAAGGAACACCTAAATATATCATAAAATTCTGAGCATAATAAGTCAAAATTACATTACACAAAACATAGATTCATACACTAGGAGAATGTATTAAAGAGAGGGGAGGGTAACCTTCTTTGAAGTAGTGAGCATAGAACAATGAGCCTGACCACAGCAAAAACTTCCACCAACACGAGTTTGGGTGTGGTGTACCCATTTGAGTATGTATAGATGTATGTATATTTTGTTGAGAGGATATAAGTGTTTCAGAATACAGAATTTAAAATATGGTCAAAGGATTGTACACTTACCTAAATTGAGTGGCCTATTGTATTAGAAATTTAGTCAATTGGATTTAAATATAGCCAAATCAAACCAATTAGCTAAATTCGATCGAAATAGAAAAAGACAAGTAATTATCGATTAATTATTTGAGGTTCTTAATTTAAACAAGTCAAGGATATAAGTTTATCAATAATAATACATAATTATAAAGTTAACTAATTTAAAGGAAGTAAATACATATTTGTATTAAACACAATTTATATATATATATTACTTTAAAAACATGAACTCTTAAAATTGAATGTTAAATTACTATAATAACCCTAACTTAAGTTGTGACTTTTTCGATGAGTTATGACTTTTTCAATAAGTTGTGACTTTTTTCGAATGGTTGTGATTTTTCGATGAGTTATAACTTTTCCAAAGAGTTGTGACTTTTTCATTAAGTTGTGACTTTTCCAAAGATTTGTGAATTTTCCAACAAGTTGTGACTTTTCCAAAGGGTTGTGACTTCTCAAAACGGTCATGACTTTTCAGATAAGACACAAAAAATATTTGTTCATACTACCCTTTGTTAACTGTAAAATAGAGAGGCTTCCTCTCATTTTTCAACCAAATTTTTTTTAACCTTCTACTCTTCTTCTTCTTGCATTTAAAATTTTTTTGTGTGATTTATTGTTGTTGAGCGAGTTTGAAGTTTAGCGGAATATGAGGTATCACTATTCTGATGAAGTAAGTCGTTCTATCCTAAGAGGGTATATTCCATAACCTCGAGTACTTGAGAAAAATAATTTTGATGATATAATGATTATTGTTTTTTCTTAATATATACATTAGTATGTAATGTTCCAATATATGAAGTTAACACGATGTGGTCTAAATTCATTTGGTTTTGTTAAAAATTTCTCTTCTGATGTAGATGCATGCTTCTGAATATCTTTTCCAAAATTTAGAGAATTGTGACAAAAAAAAAATTTTATGCTCAACACAAAAGAATGACTTTATTTATCAATGCTACTTATATAATTTAGACTCTCATGAAGTTTGCTTCAAAATAATAATTACTATATAAACATTGCCCTTTTGTTTTACTTATTTACTATTTCTTAATATTTTAGTATTTTAGATGAAGAAAAGTTCATATGACTTGTAATAACGCCAGTTGAAGTTTGTATTATTTTAATTTTTATTATTTATTTAATAGTTAATTTTATGTGATAAATATTTTCATTAACGCAAATGTATATTTATATTTGGGTAGGTATTTGTATTTAAATTAAAGTATTATATATGTCACAAATGTATTATCAAGTTAACAAGATCTTCTAACTTCAAAATATATTATTTTAAAATGAAAAAAAAACTCACAACCAATGTGAAAAATATGTGAATATATAAAATGTAGTTGTTCTTCACATGTTCATATGACATCTAAACAATTTAATGTGGAATACACATGCAAAGCACATCTGGTTAGATGACAAGAAAAATACAAAGCAAATATTGTCTATAAGGTAATATTAGTGAGATAAGACTAATTACATGATTAATCTCATCAAATTGAAATAAATATATACATTATTGCATTTAACTAATAAAAATTTTCATTGACCGTCTTCATAGATTTGCGTGAATAAGAAATATATCGTACGATCCACATTGAACATTCGCAAAAGAATCCGCAGTATTATTTTTTCCTAAGCTTATTAGTCTAATCTTCACTTAAATAAGCAATACTATTTACTATAACATATATTTTTGGAATTGATAATTACGTGCAACGCACGTGTCAAAAAACTAGTATATATATACACACATAGTTGTAGAATTATTTCTGAAAACTAACAAAACAATTTAGATAAAAGATTTAAAATATTTTTGGATTTTTCAAAAATAATTATTTCAAATTGAAGAAGGTCGATAATTAATATGAATTGCATAGGATCAAAATTGGCTATCAACACTTGTGATGATTGAATAGTGTCCTATATTATAAATGTATATAATCAATATTTATACACACTTATGAAGTGCAAGTACATTATTTAAAAATTACCTACAATTGATTTGTGTATGTGTTGTTTAATTAAGTATAACAATATAAAAGTGTATATAAGAACCTTTATACACTATTATACATGTATATATAAGTCTATACACTATTATAACATTTAAAATTTATCCAGTACAATTATAAATTTATATAAAATTAAGAAATCTAATAATCGATTCGATTCGATCAGTAAATAAATCTTCTTAAAAAACATTGATACCCACAACTATAATATTTTATCATAATATATTCAAAATCTTAGATGGTTAATTTCTTTCATTTTGTTAAAAAGGGGAACTTTCAGATCTAGCCACTTAAAAATAGCTTAATTACGCTCCATATCTATAGTTTGCTAATTACGATTCGTAGTTACATATTTAGGGAGGAAAGTGGTGAGCGAGATTGAGAGAGGAAGGAGAGAGGCAAGCGAGAGAGGGAAGAGAATGAGAGAGAGGTGAATTATATATGTATATCGGTTAGATAATTGTATATATGTAATTGCTATACATATGTGTTTGTATATCTGACGATCAAGATTGGGAGAGGGAGGAGAGAGACGAGTACGATTGGGAGACGGAGGAGAGAGGCGAGCGAGAGAGAGCAATAATTTGTATAATTCATATCTTGTTTGTATAATTTGCGGGTATGTTTGAATAATTTGCATATTTTTGTATAATTGAGTAATATAAAGTTTGAAATTATACAAATATGATAAAACTCAAAATAGCGAATCGATACAAACAGAAACATAGGATCTTTAAACAGTTATACAAATTCTATTACACAAATTACATTATATAAATTATATTATACAAAATACGAAAACTACACGTTTATACAAACTTTAAAAAGTTATATACAAAAAGATTGAATGTATATGGTGATAAAACTGAAATATCAGTGGAAATCATCATATACAAATACAAATCATCGTATACAAATATAAATTAAACAAAAAATGGCTAGTTGTGAATTATACAAATGTGGTGAATTATACAAACGTGACTAATTATTAAAACTCAAAGTCAGCTCATGTAATTAATGGTTAATGTTAGTCGCGAGTGATAATTATAGCAAACTATACTATACTGACTAATTAAGTAATATAAGTTTTCTTAATGATGTAATTTTCTCTTTTTAAAATAACTAACATCATGTGTTAGTGGAGTCCAACACAAGGACTGCACCTAAGAGGTAGAAGGTAGGCAACCTATCTTAATGCAAGTATTAGTGCCTACTTCGAAGATCCGAATCTGTGTCCTATAGGTCACATAGAAAACCATACCAATGATTCAAGACTCCCGTTCTGAATGAACATTTAAATTAAATCATTGTTATTTTTTATTTTTCTTTAGATTTAATTTGACATTATTACTTTGCAGTTCCAGTGAAAAAAATGAGTAGGCAACTTTAGTTAGAAATCATGGTAATCATGTAATTGACTCATAAACGTGAAACTCTAAATAAACGTGAAAAAATACTTGACAAATTGACTCATAATATGAAAATAATAAATAAATATCACAATACACGTGACGAAATATACTCATAATATGAAAATATTAAATAAAAATAACAAAAAAAAATTCCTTTAGATTCAATTAAACATTATAAATAAGAAGACAACATTTGTTAGAAACCATGATAATCACATAATATATTCATATAATACAATAACACCGAATAAACGTGACAATACACTTGAAATAGAGTCATAATATAAAATTGATAATACATGTGACAACAATAAGACTTATGGTATGAACATATCAAATGAATGTTACAATACTCGTGACAAATGCACTTACACACCTACTATAAATTATACAATTGCTCCTCTTAGAATTGCTCAACCTTATACAAAAAAATATCTTATTTTCTTCTGTGATGGAAAATGAGCCCAAAAAAGGTAAGCAAAAGATTGAGATGCAGTTAATTAAGTATGAGAGAGCACGCGTTATAAGTTTTTCCAAAAGGAAAAAAACCTTGTTTCAAGATGCAGAAAAGCTTGCAACTCGGAGCGGAGATGAAGTTGGTGCTATGCTCTTTTCACCAATTGGAAAACCATTTTCTTATGGTTCCACAAGTATAGAAGAAATAATTGATAAATTTTTAAAAGTGAAACTAGAGCACGTGATCATGTTGAGGGAAAATCTGTTGGATTTGAGGCATTTGAAGATCTTCGCAAAGAATTGCAAGAACTTAACGAGAAAGAAAGAAGACGAATATTAATGTATAAGATTATGCACCCTGGCTCAGAAATACCTTCGGATAAACACATGGAGGAGAAGAAGGTGGCAATGTTGTTGCAGGTAAAGGAAATTTTAAATGAAACAAAAAGTGCTATTTTGGGCAAGCATTTCAAGTTTGATTTAAATGTTGTCCCTGAGCCAGAAGAAGACGAGAGTTCTTGAACTCATAATTCTCATGGAGTTGGTAACTGAAAATCTTGATATTTGAGCTATACTTGTAGAAGTTCTTATCAGTGATCGAGTATGCTAATATGATTTTCTCTATTATTAAGTCACTTTTTAGTCTTCAAATATCCATTTATATGAGGTTTTAGGCCACCAAATAGAAGGTCATGGAGCTTTCATATTATTAAGTCAAATATTTTTTTGTTTGTTTTATCTGTAGACTTTAATGATGCTTTGTGTTGTCTAGAATGGTAAATCAATTGAAATATTTTATTGAAGTCGTAAATAGTGTAAAATTGATGGATCAAAGAAAACTCTAGTATACTCATTTTTTTTTTTATGTTTCCATCTTTGTCAAGTTTAGTGCATTTACATTTACATCAAGAGTAGCATTGTGAGATGGTGAGTCTCTATAATATGAGCTTCTCGAATATTTATTGATTTTATTAGTATATTCAATATGTCAAGAGGGATTGCACTTGAATTTTCAACTCAATACAAGTAACAGAAAAGAGTTTTTATTTATTTATTTTGGAGCACATTAGCACCCAATACAAGTATGTAAGGCACCCGAAACTATTACATATGCCATAGAGAATGTGTTTTCAATTACACTTTTTTTTCAAGGCTTAAATTTCATATAAATTAATTTACTAAATTAGTGTCCTGACTCAACACTACCCCCTAATGGTAACTCGGTGCTTAGAGTCACAAGAGACCCCAAGCTAAATCATGGTCTGGCATGAAACTAAAAAACGCTAAAGTAACAACTGAAAATAATTGAATGCCGATGCTAAACTGAAATAGTCTATTAAAGCTCACACATCTTCAAGTAGACAAGTATCTGAATAAACATAAACGGAAGCTAATTGACTGTCTGATAGTCTCTACTAAAGTTACTTGCTAGGACATGCCCCTAGCTAACTCTAATTGTCTGAAAACTGAAAATGTAATAGCGAATAGGAGATAGAGGTCGTCCTCGAATGATGAGGACTTACCGAAAGTTCTACTAAGCAGATTGAAAATCGTAATAACAACAACCTGAATCCTAAACGTCCAAACCTATATTATTAAATAATAGAGAAAGAAAGTATGCAGTTAGTACTGATACTACATCCTCAGCCTAAGCTCCACCTCTGGCGGGTGTTTCCCTTCCTCTGCCCCTGTCCCTATGTCTACCTTTGCCACGTTATCTCACTACGGGCTCAGTTGCTTGCTCTACCTCTAGAGCTGCTATCCTTGGAAATGGCTCAAAAATAATAGCTCATCTCAAAATATATAAAATATTTATGTCTAATGTAAAATAAAATGAAAATGTATTAATTAATAATAAAGAATAAAATTTTATTCTTATTATTATAATAACACAATAAATTCTTATCCTTCATTTTTCACACAGTAAATTATTTATCTTATTTTATATTTTATACACTATTATTTTATATTTTGATTTGTTGAATGATTTTTTAATTATTTGGATTGTTTTTTAATTATATTTAAATTATCATGCTGAAATTTAATTATATCAATACTTCAATATTTTTCTTAATTTTCATTTTGATAAATAACATATAATAATAATAATAATAATAATAATAATAATAATAAACTATTTGATAAAATTATTTTGTTAAGTATCTCTGAGTCCCACTCCATGATGGGAGCAAAGGAGGTTCGTTTCTCGTGGAAATTTTTGACAATTGTGATGCAGTTTGCTTATCCAAAGGGAAGGTAATTAGACGTGAGAAATTTATATAGATTGAGAGTCATTTTTTTAGAAGTGGGAAAATTGTTGTGTTATTGCAATAACAAGAATAAGAATTTTATTCTTTATTTTTAAATAATAAAAAAATTATTTTATTTTATATTAAATTTAAATATTTTAATTATTTTGAGATGATCTAATATTAAGAATTTGAATAAATAAAAAAATTCTTATAAAAAATATAAGAATTAACTAATGACTAAAGAATTTATTTAAATCAAATTTGGATTGAGAGTTTTTTTAGACCAAAAGGTGGAAGGAGGGGTATCTTTGAAGCACAAACAAAGGTGGAGGATATTCTTAGACCAACTCGTGGAAGGAGGGTATTTTTGAGTCATTTCCAGTAGGTTAGGAGTATTCTTGGCCCTTTTCCCATCATTATAAACAGAAACACAATTTAGACAACTAAGGAATTGAATTTCGATAAACTCAACCCAATAGTGAAAATAATTATGTAAAATAACCCCCAAAGGATTCAGTTGTCACTAAACACTTAACATACCTCAACCATGAAAAGTAACACATAGCCGGACTCTAGTCCTTATCCTGACTCACCTTAATATGGTCCATATCCCACATGATCACATACAAGTAACCAAGACTACTCAGAGATCCAACATGCAACAATTACATTGATAAAAAGTAAACTAGGTTCACTTATGAAACCATAAACACATACTTGGTCCTCTCAAGGGACCTAAACTTAAAATATTAGCGTACCAACGTGGTACTCGAGCCATCCGTAGTTAGTGTACCAGCATAGAACCCGAGCCAACCATATGTGGATATCCTCGTTCCAAGCGTGGTAACCAAGCCAACCATTAGTATATACCAGACATGGTATTTGAGCCAACTATGAAGATATCTTGTACAAAGCGTGATACCCGAGCCAACAATCAAACATGGACAATAATGCACAATCCCAAACATGACGAACCATAACACTTGAAACCATAAGTCAAATAACTAGTTCATTGCATGAGATTATCAACATGCTTAGCTACATATGTTTCCTATGTATTTCTTACCATGACTTGCACAATGATAGTACAAACCGTGGACATGCATACACACATAATCAGAAACGTACAACCATCCTAATAAAGAACTCAAGGCAATCAAGAACGGGAGAACCATTCTCTAGTAATTACTTCATCTCCACCCTAACAACACATAACAACATTTCTAACCATATATATTATGTAACCAAAATCCTTTTACATGCCATTTCTGAACATCTACATGATATAATATAGTAATACGGGTCTATACAACGCAATTGAAAGAAACCTAGCCTACCTGGTTGTCAAGTAACAATTGGTGAATCTTGCCCATGAATTTGACTCCACGGATATCACGACCTAACCCACCAGGCCATGCAGGCACCTAATATAACACCTAACTAGGAGAACCCTTATCATCCAAACCAGTTAAAACATACAAAAAATAAATAATTTGCTATTAAAGGCTCATTAAACATATTTTTTTAAAATCAAACTTTAAATGACTTCTTATATGAAAGACTAAAAAACACCACGCAAGGAACTAGTCTAAACGGTACAAAAGCTACAAAGGAGGTATAACTTGTACAAGAAAATAAGACACAACTCCCACCATAATAAAAAAAAATGAGCATGGAAGCTATTGGAGATCATAATCTTCTATACCTATGATACATCACTGAACCTACAACCAGACTATGTCAAGTGAGTATCAGTACAACCGCACGTACTGGTAGGCGTCATCGGTCTATCTAAATCTATCACATAATATAATATAGAAAATCAGAACAGATATGTCATATGAAAGTATACAATCTCACTTCTCTATTCATATACTCTTACCCTTCACAAGTAAATGTCATGACTAAGTGCTTTAATTACATCACCCTAAGGCTTTCCCAGCCTACCTAGAACATCACAATATTACACAATTGTAGCTTAACCCTTATACCACATTATTGTTAACAAATTATATTTGTATTTATGTTACATTTTCTCCTAACAATTTTTTCCAGACTTTTCAATATACAAAGTGCACTACGTCAAAATAGGATGCAACACAACGTGGGACTTTTTCTTAGCAGCGAACAGGAATATAGTCCAAAAAGGAATATCAACCTCCTAGGAAGCAAGTTAAGGAACGACTTCCACCACAATCAAACCCCATCCCTATCATAAGGTGTGTGGGTATTTTTTGGGGTTTAATAGTTTTAGGTTTGCCTTTAGTGAAAATTTCAATTCTCACAAGAGGTAAATATTCAAATTCGAGTGATAATACACCTAGAGCTTTGGAAGATATTTCCAAGTAAGTTCTTACCTATGGGTGTGAAAGACCCCACATTCATAGTTGAGATGTTTGCTTGCCGCTTTTCCACGTTCAATTTCTTTGTCACTCACCCTTAAGCTAAAGGTTATTTCCGCATAAGAGATTTCCTTTTCAACCGATTGAGTCGAACTACAAACAATCTGATTCACAAAGTTTAGGGATATGTAGGCAAGCTCGAAAACTTGACTGTACTCCAACAAATATGTTCTCACTCCATTCTCGAGCTTTTTGATGTCCCCATACTTCCACACCTGAATAGCTTTTGAATTCTTTCAAAATTGTGCGCTAAATAAAGTATCTTTCTAACTCCTAGTGGACGGAGTTCTCATATAACTTGAGATAAGTTGGAAACCCAATACTAGAGTCCGACCATAATTTCTCAAAATCCTTGCCATTCTACTTCCAAAAAGATGAATTATTGGACGGAGAAAATTGGATTCGTCAATTTCATTTGCCTCGGATCTCTTTCATCCATCTCAGACAAACGAGGGGCAGTTGTTGACACCTAGATTTGACCCTCCACTTCATGGATTAATTATCGAGCTTCTTTAATTTCAAACGTTTTGAAGTAGTCAGCTTTTAATAAAGTTCACAATGTTTCTCAAGTTATTTTTAAATAGTTTTGTCACTTTTTATATTTTTAAATAATATCTCTCTCTCTCTCTCTCTCTCTATATATATATATATATATATATATCTACCTTTTATAAATTTCCAAAATCATCTTAAAAAATGTAGTTATACTTATATATTTTGTTAATTAGTTAAGTTTAGTTTATAGTTTATATTTTTAGTTAATTAATTTATAATTAGGTTAAGATTAGAAGCTTGTTAGCTAATTATTAATTCTTCTTATTTAAGTTTTAGCCGAATTTGCTAATTAAACTCAAGTTGACTAAAATCT